CAGGACAATATCTTTATTTTATTTTATTTTTTACAATGCTGTACTGTCTTGTGCTGTCTAGAAACTGGTAGCCTGTTAATTTTCAGTATATATACACAGTGAAAAAAATCTACTTCTATTAAGGAAAAATGGATGATGAAGGATACAGCTGACTGAAGGGCATTTATTACCAACTCAGTTACATTCTTTCCAATTAAATCTGGCTAAAGAAACCTTTTGGAAGGTGGCTTATTGCCACATGTGACATATAACTATCTCCAATACCCATATATGTTTTTATTTAGACAGACCAGAATCATCAAGGGCAGTGATTACTACATCCCTAAGTATTCCTTTGTCATCACCAGGAGATCATGGCTAGTGAGAAGGCATTCAGTACACGTTCCTGAACAGTGAGGGCATGTTTCTGTCTGTTTTTGTTTTTATACTTTTCTACTCTTACATAATCCTTCCCCTTTAGTTACCCTTCCCAAACGAAATAGAACTAAATCTACAAAATGTCTAATAAACTCAATTTATTTACCTTTAAAGTTGTCGTCTCTCAACTTTTTCTTCTCTATTCCTTTCTTCTCTACTCCACTTTCTTCTCTCCTCTTCTCTACTTTCTTCCCCCAGTGAGGAGGATTGAAGGGATGGATAGGAATAAAAGGAGATGGGGAGGAAGAAATCGGGGTAGAGTGAGGGGTAGAGTGAAGCATGGGAGGAAAGGAAGAAGAAATCATAAAAGATGAGGAAGCAGGAGACACTGGGGAGGGAAAAGCTAGATAAGTTGGAGGCAAACACGGAGAGGGGGATGAGTGCAAAGGAGAGGGCAAAAGAGGGATAGATGGGATAGGTAAGGGAGGGGAGGTAGAAGAAGAAGGTGAAGGAGAAGAAAGTATGGATGAAGAGGAAGAAACTACTACCAAAGGCGAAGAGGATGTGGAAGCAGAAGGTGATGAAGGCAAAGTAGAGGATGGAGAATGACATGGAGGTGGGTGGGAGAGAATCAAGGAAGGCAGATGGCCGACAGAGGCCTGAGGCTGATTTGACAATGTTGTGGTTTGTGGAACAGATTTCTGAACCGCATGGCAAGCATCAAACCTAGCAGACTGTTTAGGCAAAGGAGTGACACAAGAGACGGGTGGGGCTGGCTGAGTTGAATGACTGGATAAACTGGAAGGCTTCAAAACAGGGAGCGATTCCAAAGGGGTTGGAGAAACAACTAGTCGAGCCGGCAGCGAACGGCGGATAAGGGCAGGCATTAGAGTTGCTGGGGTAGAATGTTGGGCCGCAAGTAAATGTTTGGGTCTGAAAGTTTTGTAAAATAATCTGTTCTGTGAGTCAGGATCAGGAATGATTGGAGAGCTTTGGGATGGGTGAGGTTGAAGGACAGGTGGCCCAGAAGGAACAGGGGGTGAAAGACTAGGGAAACTGCTGGAAAAGCTAGAAGTAACTGGGGCTGGAGGGTGAGGGGGATATCTGAAA